TTAAAAAATCTATCTAGTGCAAATTTCATCTTCGACCATCTATACTGTAATTAAGCAATTAAAGGATTGTTCAAAAAGTATCGCGAATTTTATGTTTTTTCAAGAATTATTTATTTGTTTATGAATATCTATTTTGCTCCCTTCAAAGTAAACCCCATCAAACATTATACACTTCTGATAACGTTTCTTCCAATCCTCGAAGCATTTTGGAAAATCATTTTTTGTGATGCCGTCTTTATCTCCTCAATCGTGACGTAGCGTCGTCCTTTTGATCGGCCTCTTCAGTTTCTGGAACAAGCAAAACTCACAGGGGGCCAGGTCTGGGGAATACGGTGGGTCAGGCATTATTGGAGTGTTGTTTTTGGTTAAAAATTCGCGCACAAGTAACGATGCATGAGAAGGGGCGTTATCATGGTGCAAAAGCCAATATTTGATCTTCCATAAATCCGGGTGTTTCTGGCGGATTGCTTCTCGCAAATTCCGCATTACCGGAAGGTAATATTCCTTATTGACCGTTCTACCCTGGGGCAAGAAACGTTGCTTTTGTCCAAAGTAGCATCGCCGTATGCAACAGTCAACATTTGGGATTTGTCCGCGCACATCAAGTTGTTTTTCACACAAAACTTAATACAAATTTTTTGATCCATTTTTTGGAATAGACAAAAATCGGAGACAAGCTAAAACACGTCCACGCACAATAGCTGCCAAAAACTGTCTGGACATTCAAAATGGCCGAAATTGTCAACATTAGTGGAGGTCATAAGTACCAACATATCGCCACAAAAAGATCGAAAATTGAACATACGTAGCCTGCGAAAATTCAATACTTGCGATACTTTCTGAACAAACCTCGTAGATAATACGATTTGTAGTAAATCTCAAATATGAAATAAACTTTTACTTAAAATATGTGTCTATAATTTCCATATCAAATATCCGATGAAATGACACATGTGGCGTTCATAATGCGCATATATTGTTTTATCGTCAGAACCGTTATTTGTACCAGATTTATTTCATAATGCTTACACGTCCTTTTTTTGGTAAGGCGACCACTGTGCCACAGTATGAACTTGCATAAAAATATGCCGTCAAAGGCTACTTGGACGGAAACGCGTAGGGCATTCTTTTCTTTAAATAGTGGAAGTAGCACGGCACAGTTTACACGAATAAATCAGAGAGAGCGAGAGAGGAAAAATTTACGAAATACATAACTTTAAGGGTCATATCGTCAGCCGTTCCTACAATTTTAGGTCGCCTTTATGACCTCCTTGATTTTAATACTATTTTCTCTCCTTTAGAACAACAAATATAAACAAATGTAGGATACGAATGAGATATGAAGAGATGGTAATAGAAATATAACGACGAGCGTAAACACAACAATTCCACCTTACACGCGTTCGAGGTACTACCCTGTACCTTCTCACTTTTATTACGAGAGTAGTACATACACAACTTAATAAGGGCTTCAATGTCAGGATCATTTTAAAGCCACTTACTTGGTGACGTTAACGACAGGGGAGCTGTTCTTCCTTGACAAGAGATACGCTCGATAGAACAACGTTGTCGGGGCCAGGTCTATTTTTGGAAAAAACCTTTTGAGTACCTTCCATATTTTACCGACTCATGACATGCACAACTCTACTGTCTATTCATTATGTCAATTGGGTGTCTCGATACTGATCACAAAACAATATAACAATGGCCATGATATTTCTCAATTATATTATTATAAATTACAATACATTGCATGGGGGAACGGTAGCATCCTACCGCATGGAAGTCACAGCCACGTCCATAATCAGGGGAACGGTAGCTTCCTACCGCATGGAAGTCACGCCTGATATGAAATATAATACCTCGTACTGGGGAACGGTAGCTTCCTACCGCATTGAAGTCACGCCCGTGTCCATGATCAGGGGAACGGTAGCTTCCTACCGCATGGAAGTCACGCCTGATATGGAAATATGATACCTCGTACGGGGGAACGGTAGCTTCCTACCGCATGAAAGTCACAACCACGTCCATAATCAGGGGAACGGTAGCTTCCTACCGCATGGAAGTCACGCCTGATATGAAATATAATACCTCGTACTGGGGAACGGTAGCTTCCTACCGCATGGAAGTCACAACCACGTCCATAATCAGGGGAACGGTAGCTTCCTACCGCATTGAAGTCACAACCACGTCCATAATCAGGGGAACGGTAGCTTCCTACCGCACGGAAGTCACGCCTGATATGAAATATAATACCTCGTACTGGGGAACGGTAGCTTCCTACCGCATGGAAGTCACGCCTGATATGAAATATAATACCTCGTACTGGGGAACGGTAGCTTCCTACCGCATGGAAGTCACAACCACGTCCATAATCAGGGGAACGGTAGCTTCCTACCGCATGGAAGTCACGCCTGATATGAAATATAATACCTCGTACTGGGGAACGGTAGCTTCCTACCGCATTGAAGTCACGCCCGTGTCCATGATCAGGGGAACGGTAGATTCCTACCGCATGGAAGTCACGCCTGATATGGAAATATAATACCTCGTACGGGGGAACGGTAGCTTCCTACCACATTGAAGTCACGCCCGTGTTCATGATCAGGGGAACGGTAGCTTCCTATCGCATGGAAGTCACGCCTGATATGGAAATACCTTGCACGGGGGAACGGTAGCTTACTACCACATGGAAGTCACGCCCGTGTCCATACTCGGGGGAACGGTAGCTTCCTGCCGCATGGAAGTCACGCCTGATATGGAAATACCTTGCACGGGGGAACGGTAGCTTCCTACCGCATGGAATTCACGCTCGTGTCAATATCCGAAATCTCCGACGTTACCTCTCATTGATAGATAAATGAGAAGCGTGACAACTATAAGTGACAATCCCTATACACATCTTGCCATGAGATACTTCCAGACTCCTGCGATTGCCTCGAGAAGAACCTAGGCGGTCATACAGACCCAGGATACCACGCCGGCCAATGGCCGTTGTGTCAATACAAAATACGCTCCGACATTTCCTCTGACAGAAGAAACCGAGCAGTAATTCCCCCGATGGCAACGCGGCTCTGTAGGTCTCATAACAGCCTCCAGGATATGGAGGCGTCACAACTCTGTAGATGTTTGACGCTAAGTTACCTTTAACTTTATCTTAACTGTTGATAAACATATCTCATCTGACTAGCTTTGACTTATTACAATTATTATCATGATTATAAGGGTACCATGGTTAGAAAATACACATGACATACAGTACAGCAAAACAATAAAAGATACCCAGTGGAAACCCTCACCGTTTGATTGATCGAACCTTGACCTGAACTTGATATGGACACTATTCACAAAATCAGAACACACAGACACTTCCACCTTTCAACTGTTAGAACAATATTAGAATGAACTAAGAGGGCCAGTGCCTCAGCGTGCCCTTGGTTTCACGAATACGCAGGGTCGTAAGTGGTTGTTGAAATGTGTATGCCAGCAGTGCCTTTCTTAGCATTCCAAGTGTCAGGCGATACTTTTACAGGGTGACTCACGTGCAGAAAAGTGTCTAAAACATTGTGTATGCTTACAAAAATATCAAAGTGTGTTAACAAAACGCTGCGGAATAAAAGTACAATAAAATCAAACAGATACTTACTTTTTGGCCCAGGAAGTTCCAGTCCCACGTAGAGAGATTTGCCCCGAGTCATCCCAGGGCAAAAATCATACCACGTGTCACTCCAGTTTTTAAAAGCCGACATAACCCCCACCGGCGGTGAATAATACACCTTTGCATATTATGCATTTTCTTGCCGACGGTTTAGGATATCTAACGGCCTATACGGCGCCTCTAGCGTGTAAGGCGCTACGGGGTGATCATATCCCGAGTCAAATTTGGAATTCGCTGGACCTGTTTGGTATCCAACGATACAAACGGGGCCGAATCCTGCTGGACAATATACAGCGGAGAGCTACACATATCTCGTATGGTACCCAACGACCTTGTTGAGAGGCTGAGTCTATTCAACTTAACCCACTTTTCCTATAGAAGCTTACGCGGGGAATTAACAATCACATATATAGCTTTGCATTGTTTCTTCGGCACTGACAGTTCAATCGTTTCTCTAGTTTGGATAGATCAGATGGATAAAAACAGGATTTTTATTGTTGGTTTTCTCAATTTAGTGCACCAACGTTGACTCTGCAAGGCTCAACATTCACTAAGAGCGTATTCTCGTGAAGACAGTAATAAAAGATATCTATATATATATTTGCCGCCAAAAAAAAAAAAATATACTCAGGAATTGTCGAGTGTTAACTTTAAAGCTTACTCACGCGTTGCCATACGGTAGCCGACATATAATTTCGAATATCACGTGATTTTCGATCCAGCCATACAGTGAAGTGGTAGTGACATACATCATCCATCCATCACCATCATGCATCAAGCCATCCCATGAACCCATTTCGTGGATCTAATCTCTGCCACAGTTTCAGTGAAATCATCTGGGCTTAGGAAGAAGAAAGGAGAAGGCCTGGTAGAGAAAATTGTAAGACTGGTCAAAAAGATTCTCTTCTTGGTGACTACAGCCGGTGCGCTCACATTCCTCCTCAAGTACCTGAAATACGCCTTGGAGGTGAAGAGATTCATGCTAGCAGTGGCGTACTTCATCTTGAAGGCTATCAAGTGTTGGGTTATGATCAAGTATGGAAAGCACCACCATGACGCCGGTGTGGAATTTCAGCATGTCAAAATAGGCGAAGAACATCATTTTGTTGACGAAGAATCTCATGAGGATGATCACCATGACCATTACAACCACCATGATTACCACGGTCATCACGATCACCATGATCATTACGGTCACCACGGTGACGAACATGGAGATTGGGGTCGAAACGATAGAGCGCAACATTTGGCATACAGGAACCGAGTGCCACAGAACAGCGGGTGGTCATTATCATCATTATTTTAAGGCGTACAGCGAAAAATATGTAGGGTGAATTACAGTTTATTTTTTCTCCACGAATGAGAATATAGACGTTTTTAAGTCGCCTTTCGTGGTTGATACTTCCGACATACATTTTTCCGGGAGCAAAGCGCATAGTGGGGGGTCACTAAGCTTGTCTCTGTGGTGAAATAAGTCAACTGAGGTCTGAAAGAGAATTGTCAATTTGAAATTTCGAATACACTTGTTTACTGAAGCTCCACTATGCTATGGCTTTGCACGATATAGGTGATGGTAGCTAAATAACTGATAAGTTACTATTTATGATAAAAATTTTAATATATTTGAAACTGCTCAGCGATTTATGGGAAATGTCTAGAACGAAGGCATTCATGCTTAGTGGTTCACCCCACCAAATCGTCTCCTAAAATATGTATCACTATATTTTATGACGTATAGTACAAAATCCTGACAAGGTTGAATAGAGTAAGATGGAAGTCAATATAATAAATGAATGAAAATGAGTGCAGTAATGGATTCAGATTAAACATCCAGAATCATTCAGAACAAAGATTTAAGAGGTCAAAAGTCACCTTGAATATGACAAGGTTGTGTTAACTTTCTAATTATTGTATCATCTGGTTCGAACTTACTACAGAGTTAGTCGTTCTCCGGGACAGGATGGCGATGAACATAATAATACTTACCTATAATAGACTTCTTTATTTATATACAATTACATTGTAATATATATTACTTATATGGAGAAGTTTAGAAAAAATATAAAGTTGGCATAATTTCCAAACCTAAGTACAACAAAAATTATGATGAATAAATGAAGGGATGAAAAAATGCATGATTATGTTAATTATATCTTTGGGGGGTTGAGCAATGTTATTTTGACTGCTTGTCCAAAGACGGATAACGAAAATTCTTTATATACTTTGGGAAGGTTATTCTTGACCAAGTCATTATTTTTTCATCAATTTCGAACGAGACATTTGATCAAATTTACGTAAACCTTGCTGCTACCTACATTTCCTTAGTCGTTCTATTAAGCGCAACATTTTCTTTTGCAAATGTGCTGAAGTAATCTATTAGTACATATAGAGAGGAAGTGGTAGTGACACACCGATCCATCATCATCGTCATCATCATTATCATCATCGTCATCATCACCATCATCATCATCACCACCATCATTATCATCATAACAATAACAGTATCACTAGAATGAAATGACCTTTTTTACAATATACCTGAAGAATGAAGGAGTGGTTGAACCAGTTAACTCTCGATATACAGGGTGATTCAGAAGTTCTTATAAGCCCTAAAATACCCCGAGAGTACAGTTATAATTAAGGAAAAATGTTTAAAATAGAAGCGGTGACCTTGGATTCGACCTTGATTTGGACCTTGAAGGACATATGAAAGTCAACTTTAAAATTTCAAATATAAGCCCCTTCTTTTGATTCCGATACTGAAATTTTGCATTTGAGCATGACCTTGAATGTCCTTTATAGTTAACCTTGAGTAAACCCTCAGTCAAAGTACCACTACTGCTGTAGTTGTATGATTTTCCCTCAGCATCGGAAGGTGACCTTGGATCGATCTTGACCTTAACGTCGACGCAAAAATGATTTCCGGATGGCTCCAAGCCCAAACAGATAACCCAGCAGATCTTGTTAGTTACTTAAATATGCAACTTTTCCCCCATCACTTAAGCTTCTAACTGATCTCTGCTAAATCGTTACTGCAGCAGCTCAAGGTTTAAAGATGGTATGTTGGTAACAGATAGTGACATGCTGACAAAAGTGCCACAATCTCGAAGCATATCAATTTATCGGCGAAACATATCCTGCGCGTAACGTGAATTCAAGCAAGTGGAAGTGAGATCCATCCATCCATCAACTTCATCTCGGCCATCATCATCTCATCACATCGCTCCATCAAGCCTCACCGCTGCATCATCATGCTTCACTCTTCACATCGTTATAACACGCTTGATAGTTTCAGTCCGCTCAAGTTCCCCAAGGAAGAAGAAAAGAGAAGGTTTGGTTGAAAAAATCGTCAGACTCGTCAAAAAAATCCTGTTCTTGGTGACCGCCGCCGGTCTCCTCACTTTCCTCCTCAAGTACCTGAAGTACGCCTTGGAGGTGAAGAGGTTGCTCCTCGAAGTTGCATACTTCATCTTGAAGGCCGTAAAATTGTTCTTCTGGATCAAACAAGCGAAGACACAGGAGCCCGAGGTAATTTACACTCATCAGGAACACGATCATTACATACCTCATCATGAGGTGATCAAACATGACCATGGACACGAGGAGCATGGAGAAGACGGTTTTGATGTCAGTGTTCATCATGATCATCATCCACATCCGTATTGGGGAAGGGAAGACCAAGCTCATAACTTGGCGTTTAGAAATCAAAAACCGCAGACCTTCTTACAGCGCCTGGTAGATTCAGATTAGGGACATAAGCAAAAATGCGTGGGTCGGTAACTCAATCAATGAGAAAGCGTCTTTGAAGTAATGAATAAGGTCGATTTCTTGTAAAATGTCTTTCAAACTAGAGAATAGTTATACGCTGTATGTAAGGTGGGCCGCTAATTTCTGTATTTGATCAAGAAATACATCATAAATCACTTGGTTCAGCTAAAGGGGACTAAGTTATTAAGGCCTAGGTCAATTTTATACGATGCTTCATGTAAGTTGGATTCATTAAAACGAAATGTTAGTTGTGTATAGTAAGCATACATTTGGATGTAACAATCTTCTACACGCTCATGCAGATCAAACGTGCATACCAGGAATAAAAGAGGTCCCAGTATTGATCCCTGTGGAACTCCTTACGAAACATACTGTGAATCAGAAGTTCGAATGGATGTTTTCACTTTCTGGGTGCGATCAGTTAGGTAGGATCTGAAGAAATTCAAGAAACTTCTGACATCTCAAGAGAAGAGCGTGTCAGATTTGTCGCCTAGGCTGTGAAGTATGTAACATAGTAATGCAGTAGTGGAAAACCAAATTGGTGTACTGGAAAATTATATTTTTTTTTGGCAAAATATTCAACGATCTGTTCGTGTACTATCTTCTCCAAGATTTCCGCCAAGAAACATAAGCCACTTATAGGCCTAAGATCAGCATATTCAGATGGATTATTATTTTTGGCCAAATGTGTGACTATTGCATCCTTCCAGCTGGATGGGAAAACGTTCCTCTCTAAGCAGATGTTAATAATATACGCGATGTGTTTAAGTTTTGCAGTCAGGTATAAACCGAGTACAGGTGATGCCATCACAATCCGCTGCTTTAGACTTGATTGACAAGATTGCGTCCATACCTTATTGAGGGGTTACCAGACGAAAGTGAAATGGTGACACGTCGAGATTAAAGCGTCTGTTGACAGCACTAGAAGCCCATTCGTATAATTTTCCTTCAGTTTGAGAGACATATCACAATAAATCGGTCACATTCATTTTAATTGATTTCCGGGGGTCGATAATAAAATCGAGCTCAGGACACAAAACATCTATGTTTTAGAATGCTTTAAGGTAGGATTTGAATTTAGTCGTTTAAGTAGTACAAAAAATTTTCTAACAACCTTCAGAGGAGGAAACGACGTCAAGGCAAATTTTTTAAATCCTTTCGATCGGAAATTTCCACCGTATTATATATTTCTTTCATTTCATTGCAGTTGACAATACGTCATTTGCTCTTATACAATCATGTTAATGTGAGGTGTAACAGCTTAAAAATAGCCATAAAAGCGAAATAAAATAATTTCTATAGCGCAAATGTTATCAAAAAAAAGTTTCTTACGTAGAAACTCCTTATTTAGATAATAACTGAAATATGTATTTTTTCATGTCTCGTAACAACCTTTTGTTAATTTGTTGTTGGGCTAAAACGCTATAGAGAATTTTGAAAATCCCAAATACCGCATACGTAAGCCGCTTCGCTTTTTTTTGATATTTGAGTGTGGTTAATTCCAAATAGGTATAACGTTGAAGTTTGCGCATGCGCTATTTCATGATTGCTAAATCAAGGTATTTTGATGCTTAAACTCAACAGTTTTGGTACTGCTTTACAAGTCAGATATTCATTAACGCAAAATATACCACTTGTAAAGCATTTCAACGCGACCTTGTCAAACTTGTTTAGTCAACCATATTATGTAACCATGGGCCTGATTCCAATTGAAGTTCGACCGTTGAAATTAAGGCGCCTTGCCCGTCAGATATTTGATCCACTATGATAACCTTGAAACTGGCCTGGTAATTTGACAATAAACGGTCGCTAGTATTATATGTCAAGATTATCATAGACAGGAACGCGATATTCAAATTAATTTAGAATCAAGCCCCATGGCGCTATTCTTTGACTTATTAAACTGATCTGAACTATTTCTGCATAACATTTACAAACTTCCAGTTTAGCTTTAAGGATGTCCATACAGTCTAGAAGGTCCCTTCTTCAATCATTTTTTGAACAGGTCCGGTTAGGAAGCTGAAAGTCGAGATGATGAAATTGATTCGAGAATGTTTTATTTCAACGTGAAGTTGACAATTGAAAGTTTGAAGATGGTGATCGGGTGCCCTATTGAAACATTATTTAAATACGTCACAGTACTTCATGATTCTAAAGTACAGGGTGGCCGATATGTAACTGACTGGTTTGTATCTTGAATATTTGTGAAATAATAATAAAATACGATGTCTGGTAGACGTCTCAGGGCGCTCCACTACACTTTCACGAACTCTCTCGATATCATCCGGAGTACGAAAAGTTCGAACACCTCAACAAGTCTTTAACTTCATCTGTGGGCCCAAATGGTGTTGAAATCTTGTCGTAGCTGCCGAATCGTTGCAACAACCAACTTATTATTCAAGTAAAATGTTTTAACAATACGGACATGATGAATCAGACACATGTACTACAAACAACTGCTGCGGCGCCGCCTACTGAAATGCGCGTATCAAAAGTGGCGAGCAATTTAAATCAGTCAGTTGTATATTGGCCACACTGTGTAAGCTTACTATCTCTCAAAATGGCGGATTGGCCAGCTTTCAAAATTGAACGATTTTTATAATTGTTTTGCTTGTAATCTCAAACATTAAACGATTTTGATATTTTAAAAAAATGGAGTCTTTCATATTTTGGAAGATCCTTCTAAAACAAAAATATTGTAATAGCCAATTCAAAATA